CTCCTAAATTGTTAATGTTTTATGGAAAACATGTTTTTGCTCTTGCCAAGTGTGAGAATTCTTTTAATTTAAGTGGTATTGTATACTGCATCATACAACACCAGCTGACTACTAGAGTTCACTGGAAATCCATTTTGATAAGCTTTTAAAAAGTGTACTCTCTACTTTCTCTAGTGTCTTACCATCCATTTACTTTCCATCGTGCCTTGTTTTATGCTGGCACAAACTATAGAAATCATTCATTTTCAGTCTCTAAAGGTTGTCTCTACTTGTCAGACTAAAAAGTCGATTTCACTAACATCACTTAAACAAACAAACAAGCAAACAACAACAACAACAACAAAAAGACAGAACAATAGGCTATCTGCTTGTTTTGACTTTCTTCTCTCAGGCTCATAACTTTCTTTATTCTGAACATCATCTACAGTACTAGAATGTATGCACTCTTCTATGATCCAGCTTAGCTACACTTATAAAGGGAACATAACATTTCTAATTAGATATTACTCCAGATTCACATTACTCCTGGAATTTACATGCTGCCTTAAATATAGTGACCTTGTTTTCCTAATAATAGTTCATTGGTTGTTTTTTGACACATGCTTCTGCATTTTTCCTGTATTATGTTTTTCTCATCTGGATACGCTGATCTTCATGAACCTAACCTGTTTGCAGGACTTGGCTTTGGCTTGTGGAATCCTCCACCTGAAAAATTTTTCCTGCACTTTGCTATCATAGAGAATGTTCACCACCACTGAACACCAAAAAGAGTGAAACTGACTTGTACATGTGTTCTCAAAATCCTTCTCTTAGCATTAGTAATTGTGACCTTGTTTTATTACTACAACTTTTTAATTTTTCCCTTCTCTATAATGTTCATTCTTCATTGACATTTTGCTTTGCTTACATTTTACTCTCAGATATCAATCTTTGTTTTTAAAGTTTTAATTTGAAAATATATTATTTTCATATAATATATTCTGATTAGGTTTTCCTTCCCCCAGCATCTCCCAAATCTTTTCCACCTTCCCATGCATCCAAATACACACCTTCATTGGCTCTGTCTCATTATAAAATAAACAGCAATCTAAAAACCCCACTTGGGATTGTCTAATCAAATATGGGACTGGTCCCTGGGGACAACTTATTTTTTAACCTATCAATCAGTAGCTATTTATTGCCTGTCTTATTTAGGCCCCATATTGTTTAAACTTCATGGGTGCAGCTTCCTAGTCATGTTTGGAGAACCACAAGCATGCTGGTTCTCTGGTCTGTACAATATTGTCCATTCTCTCTTTTGTGATTTTCTCTGAGCCTTGGCTGAGTAACCCAGACTCAGAAAAATAATTGCCATATCTTCCCAGTTTTTTATAGATCTTACCTCAAAATCTTCAGATTTAGTTATAAAACTTGAAATAACTATAGGATCTATGAAACTGAAAGTGAGCATAATGGGAAGGAAGAAAAAGCTGTATTAGAATACAGTTGCTGTGAAAAGGAAACAAAAAAGGGGGGTGTTAACTGGAGGGAGAAAGGGAAAATACAGAGGGGGAAGGAGAAAGAATATATAATTAACACTTAAAGTATCTAAAAAACATAGGGACCCTTTATTTTTATTTATTTAAAAGTACTTAAAGTGTGTGTGTGTGTGTGTGTGTGTGTGTGTGTGTGTGTGTGTGTTTTATGTGTGTATGTGAAACCTGCCTGCTTTTGAGTTGCTCATCAGGGAAATCCAAGGGACTCCAAATATAGAGAATTGCCATCGCACTTGGTTGCTTCCCTAAACATGAAAGGAAGACTCTATTTTTGAAGGTAACTCACAGTTTGACACTGAACTTGGAGGAATCAAGCTAGAACTGAGCTGAAAGCCTCCTCCCTAAGGGCTAGTTTTCATAGTATTCAAAGGTGCTATGCAAGCTGCCAAGGGAGAAAAGAAATCAAAATTCCCTACCCACATGTATAGCCCTCAAACACACCAGTGACCCTCTAGTAAGATTCATCCAATACTACCTTAGTGGTGTTTTTATCTTGGTTGTAACCAACAGCTGCCTAATTGGCCTTAAGTTATTCCCATTAGGAGAGAATTAATGACTGGGATTGTAAACCTCACCAATCATACATGGCTGAAGAGGAGAAACATTTAGATAGAGACATAAATGTGGAGAAGCAATTGGTGAAGCTTGGGAGAGGAAGGATCATTGCCAGTGTGAAGACTGACTCAGGAATTCACTTAGGTGTTCCCTGAAAACACTCAAGACTTGAGAGTATAACTCATGGTTCCTAAAATCAATATTTCTATTGGCTAAAAAGTACCTTTGCTTACTTTGTGATATCCATAAGCCCAATGAACCAAAACTCTGGTCAGGCAGTGGTGGCACACACCTTTAATCCCAGAAGTCAGCAGGCAGAGGCAGGTGGATCTCTTGAGAGTTTGAGACCAGCCTGGCTGCAAGAGCTAGTTCCAGGACAGCCTCCAAAGCCACAGAGAAACCCTGTCTGGAAAAACTAAAAATAAATCTCTGTAACATACATGAATAATACAGTTTTACCCTGTTCTAATCGATAGACACAAGCATGGAATATTTTATGGATGGCCTTTGCCAAATCTGTGTCACATGACTCATTCATAATTTTATCTGTATAGTCTCATTTCTCTTCTACTCTATTCCCCTAATTTATAGAAAGTCAAATCATAATCAAACATTGTGATTTGCATATAGAACCTGGGAATGGTAGATTTTATCAAATGTTTGTCATTGTCACGGAAATGTGTCATTAATTTACATTGCTGCTTTATACATCCATCCACAAGAAGATCCTCAAACCTCTGCTCCAAAGCCAAATTTCCTAGGCTCAGATGTCATATAGAAAACAGTTTGACACTCAACATCAGAGACCACCTTGCTGATTTTCCCCTTCTCTCTGTGTCCATAGTTGGATTCCTTCAGCAAGGTCTGTGATGTCATAAAACACACAGATATTTCCTTTCTTTCATGTAGCTTTACACAGCAATATTTTGTCTTTGTCGCTTCTCTTATACACTCAGACCTCCGAGGCTCATCTTATTTTTCTACCAGATGCTTTACACATTGCTAGTCATTAACGAAAGAGAGATCATTATTCACATTTTTAACATTACACACTTTTGTCATCTCTCTTTCCCAAATTTGCTATTCATACTAAAGGGAATAATTTTCTCTAGTTAATGCCAAAATACCTTAATACTGTAATTTCTCTTCCCTGGAATATTTTAATTGGATGTTTATAATATCTGAAGTTTATTTCATTTATGTATTGAATAAATGTTGTAGCATGATTGATTCATTATGAGGAAAATAGGTATTGGGTTTTGTTTTATAATTTTTTATAATAACACATATAGGATTGGACCATGATAGTAATGTACTTTGAGAAGTTCAGGTCAAAATGGAAAATCATGACCTTTGTTAAAAAAATAATGCCAGGATTTTAGAGAGCAGGAACAAAAATTAAATTGAACATAGGACTTTACTAACCATGGGATCTTGTAGTTCTGCACAAGTTCTATGCCAAAGAACTAGACTCTACCTATATATGTGTTTCAGACAGCTGTCAGAGTGGAGCAGTTGTATTCATTTATGTGCTAACATATCTACATAATAGAGTTAATAAATATAGATTAAGAAATGGGATGGCATACAGAATATAGTGGAATAAATATGTTAATTGGTACACTTTCACTGTGCTTTGAGGTATAACATCCCGTAAGGGGAAATACATAGTTAATAAGAATCTACATTTTGTCTCAATTCCATTATCCAGTGTGGTGCAACACATGGGTTGGTGAGAAGATTCAGAAATCAGAGCACTTGGGCATTAAAACCAGGCTCTGTCTGACATATTATATGTGGTAATGTTTCAGTTTATTGTGCGTCATTATGTACACCACAAGAATGTAACTGAGAATCTGCTATATAGACTTGACATGCAAATTATTATATCTCAAGTCTTTGGAGAATCACCTAGTGCAGTGCAAATTTTAATTTTAAAAGTCTGTGTATTAAAATTATCCTATTTTGAAAAGAATGTCTTCTTGTTTCAAAATTGTATGCCTATGCTATTCCTTTATAAATTAATGCCTCTTATTAGATGGGAAATGCCTCCTTATATTGTTCATGGGGAATTAGACATTTTACAATATTTAACCCATGATGATGGAAACAAATAATGTCCTTAAATTTTAAATTTAAATTTGAATATCTAAATCCTCTATTTAATCAATGAATTTTGTTAATAGTGTTATAGTTCATAGGTTACATAATTTTACAGTCCAACTCATTTGAACCTTAAATTTCAGGCATGTGTTAAGAAATTTATCAACTAAGTTTTTGGAAGTAAAACTATAGAAAGTTAAGTTATTTGCTTTTGCTTTTATTTTGTATGTTATTAAGTATTAGAGATATAAATATGAATATGAGTCACATTTCTTTCTTATATTTTTGGTTGTGAGCCTAGCCTTTAACAGTTAAGCTATCTCTCCAGCTTGAGTCACATTTATTTCTAATGATGAACAATTTGTTTTCTTTATTTTGTGGAAAGATATATTGATTTTTAAGCTAAATAATTATTCTTGTGTGCAAACTACGAATCTCTGCCACCATTAAATGACATCTGAAATATTAGTTTAATCATCAAATTTAGAATATTAAATAATAGGCAAACTCTATTGTCAGTGTTAATGATAAATTTGTTCAATTGATTTACTTTAGAGGGAATCCATAAAGTTATTCATAAAGAACAATATAACCTTTAAAAAGAAATTCTAACCAAGCATACCTTCTAAAAAGCACTATGAAAGTAGTTTGAAGCATAACTCCTGTTAGCTGTGAAGATTACTTGGAAAGTGTGAGGTGACACTGTCGTGATCACTGACTCTCTTATCACACCATGTGCTCAGCTCCTATTCCCTGTTGCAGATTTCACTATTTAAATATATGTCCAATTTCTTCTTTTCATATTAGACAGTATTACTGAAGTCTTCACCAACATCTACGTGACAAGTTTTGGCCCTGTCTCAGATACAGATATGGTGAGTTTATATTTTATTTTTACATATCAAATACGTTTCTTAACCAATTGGAAACTGGTGATTTAATTTAGAGTAAGTCTGTATTATTATTGTCACATTATTCTTTATATGTCTCATGTCTGGTCACTAAAAAAGAAATTTGAGAATGTGTTTTCAGTTTTACTGTGGAATACATCTCCAGCTTGAATGTTTAAATGAGCTCATTATATACATCTTCTAATTTTCTCTTCCAAATTTACCTACCTAGATGCAATGATACTTACGGTTTGACTGATGGGTTTTATAGATAGCTGATTCTTACCAATGGTGGTGTTACATGAAGATATCTTCATGTCATAAAGGAAAATGGTTGCCTAGTCATAAAGTCTACACACACAAGAAGCACAAGAAAACCACAATGAATAAAACTACAGTGTTGAAATTATTGGATTCTGTTGAATTGGTGTCCATGTGTCGTTCTGTAAATGAGAAATATATGAGAAATATATGAGAAGGAAATTGGTGGAGTAAGATGAATTAGAAATTATTTGTAAAATTGTTAGCTATCATTCCTCCATTTCTATGGCTAACTCCAGTGCTCTGTAATAGAAAATCTACTTGAAATACTTTTTCCTCATTATCACTATGTAAGATTATGCCATGTCTTGCAGCTGATACCTGCCTTGCTTCCTTTTCACCCAATATGCACCTCTCTTTTCCCATGCTGACTCTGCCACCTGAGAGGTTCACAATCTTTTTCAGCCCTCAGTCATCCTCTAGTTTTTAATCCTAAAGCCTTAAATTCCAGAGAATGAGAATCAGATGAGATGCCTTTGTTGTCATCTTGTCATCTCTTCCCAATTCCTTCCCTTGATCTAAGATTACAGAAGGGGAAATTTTGGGTATTTCCCACCTGGATGTACAAACAAAGGAAAACAAAACATTCACCCTTTTCTGGTACTCGAAAACATTCATTTCGTGATGACATCTCTGACTTCTGGGAGTAAGCAGAATTTCCACTTTTACAATAAAACTATTTGTTTTTCCTTCCAACAGAACGAACCTGCTACATCACTTAATTTCTTCTATGACCTGGGTGGTGGATAGGATGGGGGAGTTTCACTTTTGGGCAGGGTGTTGACACAAAACAGTTGAGGTCTTTAAAATTCTTTCAAAATGATGGTTTAATGCCTCCTTTCCCCTCAACAGTCCTGAGACACAGGGACAATTTTGGAGCAATAGGAAAACATGCTGTGGAACCCAAGCTTCTCCTGTCCATTTTTTTTTCATTGTTTGTTTTTTGTTCTCCATTGTTAGCATTGACTTCAGAGCCAGGTAAGTGCTGATCAACTACTCTGCTACAACTGAGCTCCTGACCTGAAATATTAATCTGTCATGATCCATAGATCAATGAAAGTGGACAGGACCTTCAAATGTTGTCACATACCAATGTAGTATCAATACACAACTCAAGTCTCATATGTTGGTTGTAAAATGAGTTTGCATTAAAAATCCTCCTTGTTTTAATGATGCTAGTTTTAGCATGTGTTTACAAATTTTAGATATGTAAGTAAATACTTAAATTCTATGTAGAGTAAACAGGGGAAAGCAAAATTTTATGAAGCACTGCATTGTAAAACCAGACCCCCAAAAATAAAAAGAGAGAAAAACTGGTATGTATATACATGAATGATGTGTGTGTAATGGTTACTTTTGGTTTCATACTGCCAGCTAAAACAGAAAGACAAAGCTATCAAATGACCAGATATCAGTAATTCTGAAACACGTTCACTTACTGTATTGTGAATATAAGAAGTAAGTTGTAACGAAAGTTTTGATTTTTAAAGGGAATATTTTCACCCAAAAATCTCATAAATAAAGAA